AGGCCGTGGGGTATTTTTCCTTCTCTGAAGGTGCTGTGGGTAGCTGCCGTTGTGTCGGGCTGACGTTGTTATGGTGTGTTCGGTACGTTCCCATGTGCGCAGCGGCGCTAAACGACCTCCAGATGAAGCGAGCGCCGGTGCAGGCTGGGAGCGGGGCCGGGCCGGAGGAAGGAGGAGTGTGCGCGGATGCGGCCCTCCAGATGCAAACAATAAGGCCAACGGATCTTGATTTCATCTGTCAAGTAATTGGGCTGGAAGTCTGTGCATGCTAATGACTCCACATCAAGCGGCTTGGTGTTCAGATGTGACCCATCCCGCTCCGCGGGGAGCGCGGGGGGCTGCAGCCTGCGGTGGCCGTGATGAATAACCCCCAGATGTTATCCCATAGGGTAAGCGAGCCCCACACGTATGTTGTTAATAATGCCAAAGATCTGAGGTTAAAAATGACCAGGGGGCATCCACATGAGCCCGGGGATGGCGGCTCTCACGGGCTGGCCCTGCTGCGGGGGCGGCTGAGAGGAGCTGGGGCTCCCCACACTGGGGTGCCCTCTGGTCCCCACTGTGCCCAGGCAGGTCAGTGCTACCCTGTGGGCGCTGCTCTTGATGCCCAGGGAGCAGAACTGTCCCTCTGCCCCAGGGTTATGGGATCATCGGGTCTGTTCCCACCCAGTACCTTGAAATCTCCATCCATCTCCCTCTGTACAGTGATATGGAGCATGGAGATTCTGCAGAGGCCTTGGAGATGGCTCCTTCTTGCCATCCCAGTGGTGTTTTGGGTTTGATTTTACCACTCTGGGATGCCTTAGAGCCAGCTGCAAAGCTGAGCTGGATGATCCCCTGCACCACTGCTTGCTCAGCCCTGGGTTATGGGGCTGGTATTGGAACTGAGCAGAGGCTTCACCAGCTCACCAGGCAGCTCACCACTTCCCTGGGCTGCACATCCCATCTGTCCTGCTCTCTGGCCCCATCCTGGCAGCCTGGGATGCAGAAGCAGCACGGGGACACACTGCTCCCAGTGCTGGGCTGCTCCGGTCCCCTCCTGGTGCCGCTGCAGGGACCCAGCCCCAGGCGCAGGGAAGGGGGTGCTGGCCAGCCGTGTGTCCAGGCTTCTTCCCCACGGTGTGATGCTAAAACCCACTGCCAGCATTTCAGATTTTAGGCTCTCTTGTTGGTTTTAGCCATGCTCAGGAGGTGAGTGGGGTGATGGGGGAGACCCAGGGCAGGGCCATGCACAGTTTTCCACCCACGGGCTTCATCGTGCCATCAGCCGCAGGCAGCAACGAGCCACTCGGGGATGCTCCTGCACCCCCTCCAACACAAGCCACTCCTCAGGGGAGCACCCAGATAACCAGGTAAAACTTTGCAGCCTACTGGGGGATGCTGTTTGGTACCAGGAGCCTGCACAGGGCGATGCTGTTCCAGCAGTCCCATACTCCTGGGGGTGCCTGCGGAGCAGAGCCCCCCTGCTGCCCCCGCCCGCTCACTCTGACGAGCCTCAGGTTACCGGCAGCTCCGGCCCGGCTCCATTTCTCCCAGACACGCCAGGGCCTGGGTGATTTCCCTGAAAGCTCCTGTCGTCGGCCCGGCTCCAGACAAAGCCCCGCTCCTTCCCAGCGGGGCCGCGAAGCGCCGTGCGCTAACCTGAGTCACGGGGAGGGAAGAGGGGGGCCCGTGGGGTCAGGCAGCACATGTGGGTGCCTGCGCTATAGGAACCAGATGCCCACTGTCACCAGGAAAGGGGATCCTCACCGAGAGGCTTTTGTCTCCAAACAGAGCCTTTTCCAAGCCTTTTCTCACCACGTGTGAGGCGGGAGGGGGCCGGGCACCGGAGGCATGATCCAAACGCTATTAAGGCGCGCAGGCAGGCGCACGCAATCCCCCAGCACCTGCACTTTATTGGTGTGAAAGGTATTGCAGCCCGGGGCAGCGGGAGCGCAGGCGTACCCTGCGCCCTCTTTTATTTGGAGCCTTTCCAGCCCTCCCCCCCGCCCGATTGCTCCAGCATGTGCGCCGCAGATGGGGAGAGACGCACGGCACCGTCCCTCGCCCACCGGGCAGGGCAGGGCAGCCCACGGGGACCCGCATCCTCCGCACCCAGTGGGTAGCAGGGCTCCCTGCTGTGCCTCTCTGCGTGCGTCTTGTCACTCCCAGGTGACACCCAAAATCCTGGAGCTCTCCCCTTGTCCCACAGCTCCGGCACCACCCGCCGACTGCCCGGGCTTTGATTTCTGCGGCTGTGATTCTGGATGCACGTGATGCATGTGGCTATTGAAGGGAACAAGGGTATGAGATCGTTGTGTTCATTACCTGATTCATTACGTGTTCATTAGCTGGTCTTAATGGCAAAGCGTTTTGCTGTCGTAGGGGGTTTACAGAATTAAGGCTGGAATAGGCAATGGGAACGGACAAAGAGAACGCATCGCCCGCCTGCAGGGCTTAAACACTCCTGAGGTGGGAAACGGGCTCTGTATTGCCAGGGGATAAAAGTGGGGGCTAAAAGTCAGGTTTCTGACCCAAAATTTCAGTTGGCTTCTTCTGCTACTACTGAAAAGCTACCGAAGTTTAGGTTTTCTCAAAGTAGGCTCTGCAATCTGCATTGCCCGTAGTGTTCTGCTGGGTCTGGGGGTGCAGCCACCAGGGTTTAATCCAGTGGGTACTGCTGCCTCCCCCTGCACCACGCTGGTTTTGTGCCCGTCTCCAAAGGCTGCGCATGTGCACCCCAAAACGACACCGGGGAGGCTGCCTGCCCCTCGCTGACAGCGGGGAATCCTTCCAGCACCGCTTTTCCTCCTCGATGCATTCGAGACATTTCTTTAAAGCTTCATGTTTCGTTATGGCTCGGCTCTGCTCCAGATGTTGCCGTTGTTGATCCCACACCTTCCTCTCTGCTTGGCCACTGGAAATTTGGCTGAATTGGAGCCAAATGAAAGCTACCCCCCACCTGCGCAAGGAATTAGCAGTGGGCATGCCAGAGTTTCATAGACTCGTAAAATGTGGCCATCTGCACCTTGTGACGTTTTGTTTCAAGATGAACAGCAAAACAACCCCCACCGCAAATTTATTTATTTATTTATTTACTTATTTCAAAAAAAGAGGAAACTTGTAAAGTTTGTGGCTGGGCACAGCGGTGTGGGGCGCACCAGCTGGGGCTTGGTGCGAGCAAAGGTTTCTTGATGGAAAGCTGCTCTGCGCACCCACGGGGTGATTTTGCAGGTGGTGAGGGCGCAGTCCTCCAGCTCTACCCCCAAGACAACAAGCTTTGCTGGTATTTTATGGCACGGAGGTGCCCGTGTGGGATCCAGCCCTCCCATCCTGCCCAAGTTGCTTCCAGAAGTGCTGGGTTTGGGGCTGCCCAGAGCCCAATTCCTGCTGCATCTCCCCCCGGACCAAAAGGGGTGATGCCGCTGGTGCAGACCTGCGACAAGCTCCGGGTGCTGAAACAGAAGGAGTACCTGTGCTCGAGTGCAGATCGATGGCTGCTGAGAGCCGTGGTTGGGATGCTTCCAAGCACATCAGAGATACATCTATCTGGCATGTAATTAACTCTAAATGAGATCGGCAATGAACACATAATTATGGTTCCGCTGAGTTATTAAGCTCATAAAGAGCAGGTAAGCAGTTGTCGAGATACCCCCGGCCAGTCAGCAGCCGCTCACCGTGCGGGCTGACACAGCAGCCAGGCAGAAATAACAGCGGGGGGGGGAACAGGGGGGCTGGAGGCTGCTAACAAGGGGCTGACGGTGGGGGCTGAGCCTCACCCCGTGCCAGCCTCGCTTCCTCCCTGCCCAGGAAAGGCAGAGGCACCATGGGCTCTCCCACAAGTTGTGGCTCTGGGAGACCCATGGGGACTTTGCTGCCATCCCAGCACCGAGCCTGCCTTGTCCCCAAGCTCTCTGGGCTGCAGACATCCTGTAATGCCCCACCAGCATCCCCAGACACCGCACCGAAGGTCCTGCTGCGTTCCCAGGCTGCAGCTGGATGCGCTCCTGCACCATCAGCTTTGGCTGCAGCAATATTTCCCCTGCAAATACAGTGATATTTCATGGTCTGGCTACATGGCATCGTCAAGAGGTAACTTTCTCAGCTGGAAATGGCCTTTTGGCACACTGGGGGTCCCAGCAGCGTGATGGCCGGGTCCTCTGGTGAGCTGCCAGCTCCCTTGGGGTGGAGTATTGCCCCATACATCCCTATAGGATAAAGAAATCCCCCTGCTCCCATAGAGCTGTGTCACCAGATGCTGGGGAACAGCAAATCAAACAGAAAAAGCACCTTTGTGTGTTATCCTCCCCCAGTCCCCACATTTCTGCAGCTCCAGCGTGATGTCAAACTGTTGTCACTGCTGTGTCTTCGCCCAGGAGGGCACCAATAAGGGAATAATTGCAGTCAGACCGAGTTTGTTTTTGCATGGAAAAAAAAAAGAGAAGGAAAATGGGGCTGGAAAGCTGCATGGAGGATGTCTGAGGGCTCTGGATGGCACAGTTAATAGCTGGAGTCCTGGGGACAGAGGTTTGGGTAGGAAGGGCTGCGTCTGATACCCTACAGCTCTGCCTACTCTCATAAAACTCACACATTTCACATATATTATTTCTTAAATTGAAGCTTTAAAAAAATCAGTGGGTTTTGGCTGCTTTATCCCCTTATTGGGATTATTTAAATCAAAAGCAGAAATACGGGGCAGGCTCCTTTTGTAACCACGGATGGCCCGGAGCCAGCTGCCTCTGCGCTGCTGCGGGCGGGCGGCGGATCCTGGGCGGGCACGGGCACGGCGGGGACCCGGGGATGGGGCCACCCCTCTGGGACCCCCGTCCTGCCCTGCCACCACCCCAAAGGCCGTTTTGGAGGAAAAAACACAGAGCTGAAGCCTGGGCTGTTGGAGGGAGCTGGGGCAGCACCAGGGGCTTGGGATAACCCTCCTCCTGTGTTGGGCATGCTGCGAGCACCAGATTTGCCCTCTATAAACACCGCGTTCCCGTTCAGGGGCTAAAGGGACCAAACGGGTGGCATGGAGTGTGGCACAGGAGAGGCAGCTTTGGGGGTGTTTTTGTTGTGTAAATGCTCCCCGAGCGGGGCCGTCTCCAGCTCGCTGGTATTGCTATAGCTACGGGCAATTTTCTGCGTTCAAGTTTTGCAAAACCATATTAAGAAAAATCTCGCCCTGGCGCTGCTGGCTCTCCTCCAGGCTGGAAATTGCATTCCCCTGCTTGAAATTCCTCACGGAGTTTCAGATGGAGAATGTACAACTTCACTTTCCATCTCGAGCTGCTGTCACACATTTTAATAACAGGGGCTGTGCTACACCCCAGAGGTGGCCGCGTGCCAGTATTTTGAAGCGAACCCGTTGGAGCGGTTGCGGTGAAGGCTTGGACGGCGGCGCAGGCGCTGAGCGAGCGGTGGAGGAGAAGGAGCCGCGGCTCCAGCTCAGCTCCAGACGTGTGCCGTGTGGCCCCTTTGCCTCCCGAGCCCTGCTCAGCCCCTTGAGAGGAGGTCGGAGTTTGTGGGTTAATTTTCAGCCTCCCGGTGGCCGCGGTGATGAGCTCCCCGCTGTGTCCTCCACCCCAGGTGATGGGACACCCCTGCTCTGGACAGGATCAGATCCGTTTGCTGCACTGCAGCACCCATGATCCTGGTTAGGAAGAGACATGGTTCTTTCCTCCTTCATCCTCCTGGCAGTCCCTGTGCCCACATCCATGAAAACACCAAGAGCCTGGCCCTAATGAGCTCCAAGCTCCTGCAAAGCCATCCCAGGTCTCTCCCTGTAAAAGCTGCCTCTTCCCACAGGGAGGATTAGGGCAAATCCCCCAATGCTATTATTTCGAGGTCAGGACACCTACAATGCCCAGAGGGCAAACCTCAAAACTCCCCAGGTCCCTGGGGAAAGGCTCAGTAATGTCACAGAGTGGCTGAGCTGGGTGACAGGGCCTTTGCTGGGACCCTGCAGGGGTCCAGCCCCTATTTGAACACCCCCATGGAGACGTAACCCACCTCCTTAGCTGGGCTGGGCTGCTTTAGGGACGGGCACAGGGCTGCTCTTCTGGGGAACACCACTATTTGCATGGCTCAGCCATCCCCAGCCCCATCTGTATCCATATCCCAGGGCACACGCCTGGGCTCTGCCTCCCCGCGCCTCTCCTGGCTGCAGGCACCGCCTCGCCCCTTACCAAGCCCCTTCTCTGGCTTGCTCTTTGAACCCGAGGAGCCGGGTGTATTTGTAAAACACACCGCCGTAATCAGGGAAACAGCCGCCCTAATTGGATTGGAAGGGCCCTGAGTAATTGGCTGTTTGGGAGCAGCCGTTTCGAATCAAGCTGTGCGCCCTTTAATAAGTTTACTCGCCTTTATCAGCTCGGCGAACTCCGCTGCGGAGGTGACCTGTTAAACGATCTCCTGTGTTTCTAAAGCGCTTTTTATCCCCGCTGATCCCTTGAGCCATTTTCTTTCTTTCTTTGTAATAACAAACTTCAGGAGACCCACGGCGCCCGCGCTGCAGCTCCCGCCTGCGTGCTGCACGGGTCGGGGAGGTCCCAGGGGAAGGGGCTGCGTGGGGATGCTCCGACCACTATCCGGGACCCCATCCTGCCCAGGGGAGATGGTTTGGGGCTGGGGGAGGGATGGATGAGGGGAGCACCGAGCTCACACAGCGCCGTGCTGCTGTTGCTCTGCGTGGACTATGAAGGAGCTCGGTTGCTTGAGTCCAAGGGCTCCAGGGGAGGTTGTAATTAAGGGAAAATGAGGGCAAGGGCTGGCGGAGGGTGCTCCGGGTGAACCCCTGCACGGGGCACAGGCAGTTTTGGGGAATGCTGCCCTGGGAGTTTGCTCTGTCCTGGTGTCAGGATAAATCCCTGGTTTGCTTCAGGGATGCTGGCAGGTATGGCCATGGGACAGGGCTGCCCAATGCACCTGGCCAGGGGGAACCCTCTGTGCCCCCAGAAAACAATTCAAACCACATGTATGTGTACCACAGTGTCTGGTGGCAGCTCCTGAGCTCGGGGATGTGCCTCCCTCACCTCTTCTGCACTGACAGCCGCTAAAAGCTCCTTTGGCCATGATCCACAGAGCATCTTCAGCCATGCAGATGCACAGCCACAGTGCCACGGCTCCCCCCGGGCTGTTGTTAGTCCCCCCAGTCCCTGGGGAACTGCCAAATATGCAGTCAGCTCCCCCGGGACCCCTGGTATCTCTTCCTGGCCCCAGGAACAATGACCCTTCCCTTCCTCAGTGCAGCCAGTCATCTCCAGGGCTCCAACACCCCTCGCCCCTGGCAGAGGTTGAGGCAGTGGTGATATAGTGAGTGCAGCGGCCGGCCCTCGCATCTCATCAATCAGGGCTCGGAAGCGCGGAGGCTCCCTCCACATCCGCAGTGTCTGCACGACGCTCCCCACGAGCGCTCGCAGCCCATCCATAACGCCGGTGACAGCCCAGAACACTTTCATCTGCATCTGCCAGGGCAGCCGGCGGCTCTCATGCACCCCAGCAGCCCTGGGGACCAGCTGTGCCCATGGGGTGCCTGTGGGGCAGCCAGGTTTGGCTCCTTGGGGTGAGCACATCGGTGCCCATCGCGGTGGCATCGCTTGCTCTTGGCGAACGTGACCCCGTCCAGCCGGGCACCCACATCGGGGACCTTTCAAAATGATTGGGAAACTCTTGAAAAGCGGCGCTCTCCGGTGGGTTGTGTTATCAGAGCTGCAGATGAAGAAGTGCTAACGGAGGGAGAAGACAGGCAGCGTCCCGGCAGACAAGGTGGCCGGGAGATCAGAGAGGGCCTGCTCTGGATCCCGTGTCCTGCACAGCCTTCAGGCACTGCCAACCAGCGGCACCGCGCACAGGGACGTCGAAGCTGCTCAGTTCACAACAGCCTTTTTTTGGCTGAAGGCTGTGGAAATGTTGGCACCAGGATCCCCAGGCCCTTTCCTGGCTCACTGCCCGCACAGGACCCTGAAAGTACGTCCCCAAGTCAAAATGCAGTGTTTTGTCCTTAAAAAGCTCCTCTGCTCAATTTAACGTTATATTGAAATGACAGATTGGGAAGAAATCTCAAAGAGCTGAAAATTGCTACCCACCTGTTTCGTTTCGAGTCAAATTAAATGTTCTAATTTTGCTGAAAAAGTGACACCTGAGTGCTTGTTGCCTTTAACTGTCTGAGCCTCCTGGCCCCAGCAGTGAGCTCCAGGTCACCTTTTAGGCTTTTTCCTCCAGCCTGGTGGGCAGGCAAGGAAAAGGCTCTGCCCTTTGGGCCCTGCCCTGCTGTGCAGCGGGCAGATTGGGCAGCACCAAGAGGCAGCACCACCCTGCTGCACCATCCCCAGCCCTCTGGGATCCTCCCTGCATGAGGATGAGGATGGTGCGGGTGCTGCGCTCCCCCGCCTGCCTTTCCTGTGCCTCCCTGGCTGTGTTTAGACAGAATTTTGTCAAAATGCATATATTCCTGCCAAACGTTTCCATTTTGACAAATTGGCATTTTCCAACAACAACAATTCCCCCCCCAACCCAAACACGGAGCTGGAAAAATTCCCACCAGCTCTAGCCCGGAGTGAAACAGTTCCTATTTCTAATCACTTACGTAAACTCAACAAGAGCTGGCAAGTGCCGCGCGGAAGATTTTGGATGCGTTTTTATTTATCAAACTGCTCCCGATAACAGATTCACTTCCTCGTCGCAATCCTCCCTTCGCGTTTTTTCCCCGGGGAACCTTGGCGTTGTGAATTGGGAGGTTTCTCCGTCGCGCCCCAGCGTTTTATTTCCTCTTGTTGAAAAGCTCCCGTGCGCAACGGGCCGGGCAGCCCCCGCGCAGCCTCCTGCGAGCGCCAGCCACGAGAGGGCACAAAGCCCCCTCCTGCAGCCGGGCGACCTTGCAGCATTGTGCCACCACCCAACCGTGCTGAAATGCACATCCAGGTGCCCGTGGCACCGTGCAGCCTGTCACTTGTGCCACCACCGCACAGGAGTGTCACTGTCCCCCAGGCTCGGTGGCGATGCGCCCACGGTTTTGGGCCATGCTCGCCCCCTCCCCGCGATGCTCTATCTCTTGGAAGACTCGGGGGATCTAATTATAAAAAGAGCTAATTATATTGATAGGTTAATTAAGACACTGCTGGTTTCAGAGAAAAAAAATAAAAAAGGCTTTATCACAAGGTTGGAAGTGAGGCTTGGCAGTTCAGGGTGTGTGCAGGGGCAGATCCTTGGAGTGATTCAATGAAGCCACAGCTGGGCTGGGGGGACGATGGCCCCGAGGAGCACCCCCAGCCCTGGCCTGGGCTGATTTGTGTTTGCTGTAGGTCCATGCTGCGGGGAGGGCAGGGGCAAACGGGACATTGCTGCTCAAGAGGCCCGGGCCTGGCCAGCAGTGCCCGGGGCTGCCGCCCGCAAAGCTGCTCGCTGCAGGGTCACCGTGTGCCACCCGCGCTGCAGCACCTGGGGCTTGGCACCTTGGTGCTTTGGGATGGGGGAATGGCATTTCCCTGGCTGCTGCTACCCCACCCCACTGCTTATTTCAGACGCACGTTTTGGGTTGCAACACCTGAGCTGCTGCTTTGGGGTGTATTTTGCCAGGTGCAGAGCTGGCACCCCAGGTTCCTCCCATCCCAAACAAGAACTATACGCACATGCTGGCTGCCTTTCCACGCTTGCAGCAGAGCCTGCGCAGCCCAATTAGCACTGCTCCGGGGGTGCCAGCTGCTAATTGCGGGCCTCGGAGCTCCCAGCACGGTGAGCACTGGGTGCAAGCAGTTCAGCTCCCACCAGGACCCTGCTGCTGGGTGTGAACGGCTGCAGTGCTGCTCCAGAAATGATAAAAAGAGGAGAAAAAAAATTAAAAAGGGGAAAGAAAAAAAAAAGGGAAAGGGAGAAAAAAGGAAAAAGGGAAAAAAAAAGGAAAAAGGGGAAAGGGAAAAAAAAAGGAAAAAGGGGAAAGGGAAAAAAAAAGGAAAAGAAAAAAAAAGGAAAAAGAGGGAAAAAAAGAAAGAAAATTAAAAAAAAAAAAAAAAAAAAAGCAGCGTCTGGGAAATCGCCGCTCCCCGGCGGGGGCTGTCCCGGCGGGGTCTCTGCCCCCCCCGGGGGTTCCCCACGCGTGAGCCACGTCCCCGGGCGGGGCCGCCCCACGCGCGCTCCCGCCTCCTCCCCGCGGGTGGGCGCGGGGGGCGGTGCGCGGAGGGCGGGAGGGGAGGGCTGGGACGGGCCGGGGGGGCGCGGAGCAGTGCGCAGGGGGGGGGCGCGGAGCGGAGCGGGGCCGAGAAGAACCGAGCCGTGCCGGGCAGGCAGGGCAGGGCAGGGCAGAGCGGCCGCACGGGATGCGCTGCCCGGCGGGGCGGCGGCGGCGGCGGCGGCGGGGGCGGGCTGCGCCGGGAGCGGCCCCCGATGGGATGTAGCGGGCGGCTGCTGGGACCCGTCGGGGGGCGCCGCGCCTCGCTGCTCCTCACCATGATCCTCTTCTTCACCTACTTCTTCTACTGCCTGCCCGGGCCCTGCGAACCGCTGCCCCCCGCCCTGCTGCTGCCGCCGCCCGCAGCGCTCCCCGACGGAGCGGTCCCGGGGACGGCGGGGACCGGGGCTCCGGGGGCTGCGGGCGGCGGCAGCCGGCGGTTCCCGCAAGCCATCATCGTGGGCGTGAAGAAGGGCGGGACGCGGGCGCTGCTGGAGTTCCTGCGGGTGCACCCCGGGGTGCGCGCCGTGGGCGCCGAGCCGCACTTCTTCGACAGGTGCTACGAGAAGGGGCTGCGCTGGTACAGGTAACGGCACCCCCCCCACACCGAGCCTCGGGAGCTGGAGGGGTGCGGAGCTGGCCCCGTGTCCGTGCCCCCCCCCCCCCCCCACCGCGGGCAGGTGGTGCTTGGCTTTTTTTGGTGATCCCCGTTTGCGGTCGTGGCCCTACCACTTTATTCGGAGCCGTCCCGTGGCTCTCACCCCGCCGATTAACTCCTTTAGGGAGCTTTTTGTTTTTTTCTTAAATCTCAGTTTCTAAAACTGAAAGGAGCGAGGAGCTCAGCTCGCAGGACCTGACTTGATCCCGGCAGATTTTGGCATTGAAACCTCGAACTGCTGCAGGAAGGGGAAGGGTAAAAGAGTATCCCTTGAATTCCCCGGTCTGCTTGTGTCAAAGGGCAGGGCTGTATTGATTCAAGGGAGTTGTTTAGTTTTGAGGGTTTCAATGGAATTGAGCTCTTCGGGCGATAAAGCATCGGAAGAGCAGCTACTGTGCATGTGTTGTCCATTAAACTCCCGTATCGTGGCCAACTCCAAAGTGGCCGGCCAAACCTAGTCGGAGCGCTAAGCCCCTTGAAGCCAGCGAAAGAATCTGCTCCGTTATTTTGAAGACAGTCCAAGTGTACAGATTTATAAAAGCGCTGCGGTGTTCTCGCGAAACATCTGAAAACAATAAAAGGAGTAGCTCTCCCTGTCCTTCCTGCTCCTCCACCGGGCTCCCTCCAAACCCCGCAGGGATACTCCTTCCTACGTGCGCTTAATGGTTCTTTATATTTTGGGGAAGGATGCAGCTGAGCAATGCTCGCCCAAATAATACCCTGTGAAAAATAAGCCCGTTTAATGGGAAGCGTAATTTTAGTGGTAATTTTACCTGCAGAGTTTCGGCTCTGTAAGACCACATCTGGACTGTAAAGTTATTGACTTAACACACCTTCAAACGCAGTAAGTAGCACACTTATTTTTATGACTGTATTAATATTGCCGTGATTTATTAGCTCATTTCTCCGTTCCATACGTATCCGCGGCGCACCAGGAACAATAATGATGATAACTAATTTTTGGGGGTGAGGATTACAAGATAGATCTTGCTTGGCAGGATGGGAGTTTAATGACCGCAAGCACGTAATTAAAGTGTGGAAGATCGAACGCTTTCATATCGTTTGCTGTAGTCCGGCGAGGCATTTGCAGGATGGACTGTGGCAAGAGAAGAATAAATAAAACTCACTTTGGGATTGCTGTGTAGGGAGTTTTCAGTGCTCTGAGTGCTCACAGGGAGCCTGGCCTGGAAGCAGCTAGATGATACAAGATAATTCTCTGTATGGCTATGGTAAATTTGGAGAAATAGATCAGGGAACATTTTTGGTGCAGCCAAATGCAATACAGGGAAGCGTATACAGGGAAGCGTACCGTGTACTGGGAAGAAGTTGCATCCTTTCTGGTTGGGGGGAAAATTATTAGATGTTTTGGTTTAATTCCGCATAGAGCACGTGTGTTTTCAATCATACGCACAACAATTTTTTGGAGTTTCCTCTTTTCCTTGCATCTCCTGTTTTGTCTTCTTATGAGATCTTGCTATACTGAGGGTTTTTCTTCCCTTGAAAGCCAGACAGAGCTAAATGTCTAAAGCTGGGGTGTGTTTGGGTGGAGGAAAAATAGAAGTTGGACAGAAGTTCAGGTTTTTCCAATGATTATCTCAAAGTGGTGTAAACATTTTTAAAATATTTGAATGTGCTAGGAAACCAAAATTACACCAACTGCTTCTCATGCCAAGATATTTGGCCTGAAGGCACCTGTAGGTCGTTGCTTGTCTCAAGTCAGTGTAAGGAGAAAAAAGGGAGAAGAAGGAAAAAACAACAACAACAACAAAAACTTAGAAATATTGCCACAGAATTTTCTTTCTTCATAGTTTAATCCCATAGGGATTTTGCTTCTGTGGAAGGAGTATCTTCTTGTGGGTGCCGAGTAGTTTACATTATAATGTAAGTCATTGACTGAAACCATTTGTTCTTACTGGAGCATTTTATTTTATTTAAATTTGAAATAGCTCAAAGTCTTTTTTTTTTTTTTTTTTTTTTTTTTTTTTTTTTTAAAGTAGTTCTTTTTGCTGGTATGACGAAAATACTTTGTAAAAGCAGCAAGCATCTCATCTGAAATTCCTTGAGTTACTATCGGTTTAGCTAATTATAAGAAGATTAAACACCTCCTCTAGCCTTGCAACGTAAATTACCTAATGGATAATCCAAGCATGAAGTGAAATTTTATCCTAAAGCAAAACAGTGTTTTAACTTTTTTGGCACTCGGTGCTGCTTAGGGTAAACCCAAATAAAAAGAGAACGGGAGGGATATCAGTGGGCGTGCTCCTCTCCTACACAGCGGCGCTGGGAGCGCGAGCGTCCTGCCGGGGAAGCTGGAGTGGTGCTGTGCCCCTCGCCGCTGGCTGCCCCTCTGCTTTATGGCAACGCGGGCAAAGGGAAATTTAAGAACTGAATCTGAGACGTTTCCTGGTGATATTTCACAATTCATCACAAGAATGTGAAGCGGTGCCCGGTGTGATGGCACGGGGGTGATCCTGCCCTTGGTTGCATGGATATAGAAAAATTGTGCTCGCAGCGGGCTGAGCGGCTCCGGGCTGCCATGACCGTAAGCCCTGGGGGCTCACAGCCCTGCCACGTCCACAAGCTGGTGCTCGTGGGGGCTGGGGGCATTTGCTCATTGCCGTGCCCATGTCGGGGCACAGCTGGGAACCTCCCACTGCCTTCCTGGTTAGCAGAACCAGCCTCATTTTCCACTCGGCCACCCGATGTGGCTGTACCCGCAACCAGCATCCGTCTGTCCCACACCTAACTCAGCGCAGCCTCTGCGGTTCTGGTGCTGCTGGGAAAAGGACTTGAGGAAGGGGGACATGAGGCATGAAGGCGGTGCAGGGAATGGTCTTTGCGGATGCGGTTTTGCATGAAAGGAAGTTTGGGGGAACGCACATTGCGAGCACTCGCTCTGCTGTCGCTTGTACAAAGTTCCCTTGTCTCCGTCCCCTGAATCTTTGCAGTGGCAGCAGCTCCATCAGGCAGCTTTGCTCTGTCTTGTACTTCCTTGTACGATTTATGATCTGAGCCCTCTCTTCCCCGTCTCCTCTTCCTGTTTTTACCCAGTATCTAAAGAAAGAGCCTCACAGCCGGAGAGGGCTGGGCCAGGGCTCCCGGTGGCCGTTCGCATCGCTGAGCCCAGCGCCGCACGAAAGCGGCCGTTGGCGTTGTGCTCCGCGAGACTGCGCTCTGAGTGATGGTG